ACTCTGCCAATCCCCCTACAATGATTTTCAACTGCTGAGCCACAAGAATGTTGAAAACGTTCAATACCCGACTATTTAGCCAGGGGCACTGACCTCTTTTCCCTCAGACTGTCAAACACAAAAATGACAACAGCCAACACAATAGCCATCCGGTGTAAATCAATACAAATTATACCTATTTTTTTGTGTCAGATTGGCAAAAACGATACTTTTTGGTGTGCCATGGAATTTTAGTAACTAGTTTATGTGCCGTGACATGGAAACAGGCTGGAAATCGCTGCCCTGCGAAAGCTCTTTCCACATCCTCTACACACGCTAAAGCTGCCATTTCCAGGTACGAGGTATCAGTGTGCTATCAAATTCCAGGAATTATTAAGAAAAAAAGCCAAAACATTTCCATATGTTCCATACGTTGAATTATGCATCTAGCCATGCAGTTTATTGGGGGAAAGTGTCTAGAAACGGTGAATCTGGGGTTTTAGGGGGGAGTCTTTCATTCCATGCATTTTAGTCCCATGTTGAGGAAAGATGCTTTTGTTGTTCACTCCCTTTCTAACCCTACTTTTTAAACTATCTCAAAATAAGAGTATTAATTAATACTGACTAATTTGTGAGTTAAAAAATTCCTTTCATCTGTTTTCCATTTTTTAACCTTTAATCAAAGTCCAGGAAACAGAAGGAACAAAAAAGGAAAATTTTCAATAAATTTTGAACATCCACATGGGATTACAGAGTGCCCAAAAAATGTCTTGGACAGGAACACAGCAAAACAGGTTTTCAAAGTACAAAGCTCCAATTTGGTTCAATTAAACACAGTTTACATGTTGTTCAGATTTGCTATCCTGACGCCCTTGCAAAATAACGTAAACTAAGTGTTTAACGCTGGTTCTGACAACACGAAAGTAAAACAGTAACTTGAACAATGATGCCACCTGTTAGAAGTGTCTTTTCATGATGTTCTTTTTCCCCAAGGACATTCTGAAAGGCCTGATTAAAAATAGAGTCACAGGCACAAAGACAGCCCATTCTTTAAAACACAAACCTTTGATCAAAGAACTTCACTTCTTCCTATATTTGGACTCTTCTAGGACAACGGTACACCTACCTTGCTGATGGGTTTATTAAGAGTTCCTGTTCTATGGGCCTGTCCCTTCTCCCCAGCACTGGTTACAGAGAAAGAGCCTTCAACATAACTGGACTCATCTGCACAGGTCCACAACTCACCCGTCCAGAAGATTCATGGTGGTGGACGTCACTTCGGCAAACAGAATTACTTTTCCAAGTCGTTTTGTCTGCAAATTTTGTCGGTAGATCTCTAAGTTAAAATTTTCAGAGGAGAAGGCCATTGTGTCAGTCACCACGGGTACAGCAGTTGGGGTGACTTCTATTTCAGATGTGTAGGATGGGACAAACTTGAGGGAGAGCTTGCTGGATGTTATTACTCCTCCTGGATCCACACGTTTCTCCAGCCACTGCATAAAAGGATCCCGGATTTCCTGTGTTGTAAAGACAGAAATGGAAAGGTCATAACGTGGCATTATGTTAGATGACCATAAGATGCCATTTAGGTTACATAAGTACTTCCTAAGTCATGACCAATAAAAATTAAATTACTGTATTCTGAACACTTAAACTATTATACAACAGACACCCGGCTGGGGTGGTTCAGTGGCTGAACGCCAACCTATTAACCTGCAGGTCCTGATTTGATTCCCGGTCAGGGCGCATGCCCAGGTTCAGGCTCAATCCCCAGTAGGGGGCTTGCAGGAGGCGGCTGATCAATGATTCTCTCTCATCACTGATGTTTCTATCTCTCCCTCTCCCTTCCTCTGAAATAGTAATAAAAAAAGATTGGAAACATTATACAACAATAAGAATGCTAAGTACTGCATGCTTATACTACTAAAATAAACTGTTCAGAAACCAGGATCCAAGGAAATGAGTAGAGTTCATTACCCTACTTTCTATCCTAAATTCTACAAAGTCCCCTCCAGCTCTAGGGTTCACTAGCAATTCTCCAGCCCTCTGTGTACCCACCAGTTGCCTCATTGGCTACATTTATCCATCTGAGGAGATTTAGTAAATGAAACACAGCCATACCTCTGATTCGGCATTGGATTCAAAATATTTACCATCTCTGTTTGTGTTCGGTCCTCCTCTTCCCAAGAAACACCGAAAAGGTTTCCCTAACCTCTAAAGGTTTTCTCTCTCAGAGGCACATTGCCCTCATTGTAAATAATCAGGTTAGCTGTGCCTCAGTCGTAACAGTGTAAGTTGCCAGGCAACCAGAAGTGTGTAAATCAGAAAATGAACCCACAAAGACATGAAATACAAGCTCTTTTTTTTTTTTTTAACCCTCCCCTGAGGACATCTTTTTCCATTGCTTTTTCAGAGATAGTGGAAGGGAGAGAGAGAGAGAGAGAGAGAGAGAGAAACATCGACATGAGAGGGACACATAGATTGGTTGCCTCCTACACTCACCCCAACCAGGGCCGGGGATCGAGCCTGCAACCAAGGTATGTGCCCTTGGCCAGAATCAAACCTGGGACCCTTAAGTCCTCAGCTTGAGGCTCTAACCACTGAGTCAAAACGGCCAGGGCTACAAGTTCTTTTTAGGGGTGTCTCACACTCAGTTAAATACACTCAAAGAAATAGTAGATAACCTTCTCCAGTGAAACAACCGCAGTCTTACCACTGTAGTTTACAAACTGGTATTTTACAGCCAATTTCACATTGGCTCAGTGTCTTCACACACAGGATGGGACACACAGCATCTTTATAATCAAAAGATGAGCTCCTGGAAGAGCAGGACTGACCTCATCTAAGGAGGGAATTGCAATCCTCCGGTGGACTTTTATTCTAAGCACCAGAACAACCAAGCAGAGCAAAGCGTCAGGTAGGGTGTGAGATGAATGTTCTCCTCGCCTGAGGGAGATGCTTCCGTCCCAGTCCCAATGGGGCAGTCTGACACACCCTTGCCTAACCTGTCCAGATTCCTCCTCAGATGGCACTGCATCCAGCTTGGGTTCCCACAGAGCCTGCCTTCCTGCTTCCCTACCGTGATCAGCCACCAATCCCAAGCACTGTCACCCCAGAATGACTGGACCTGGACAGGCTTCTAGCTTGGGTGGCACATTGCTGAAACCAGTCTATCCCCACAAACATGCAGGTCAGCTATCACCAACGGACAAATGAACCCCGGGACATGTTTTAATTGGGCCACCCATTTTAAACTAGTTACTATCACGTAAAAATCAGGACATTTCACACCAAATTTCCTGCTGCTTTTAAAGAAGTGGGAACGCTTTCCCACATGGCAATAGCTGGCTGGGGCCAAGTAGTACTGCCCTCATTGCCTGGGGACACAGCTGGACTCCTGTGTGCTACCTCTTCTGCCCCTAGGCATCCGGGTTTCAGACCACTCATCTTGGCCCTGGCACCAACCCAGCAAGCTCTCCTGTGGGGCCTGGACAAAGCTTCTATCCAGTTAGGTCCGTCTGAGGTCATCGAGTGACTCTAGTGACACTGACTCTCAAAGTAGTAGCGGTAACAATTCAGCAATTCCTCAAAAAGTCAAAGAGAATAAACATATGACCCAGCAATTCCCAAGTATAACCCAAAAGAAATAAAAGCAGGGACTCAAACAGATACCTGAACACCAATGTTCACAGCGACATTACTCACAGAAGCCAAAAGATAGAAATAGCTCAAGTGTCAGTAGAATAATGACAGATAAATGGATAAACAAAATGTGGCGTCTATCCACATGGAATATTATTCAACCATGAAAAGAGATCGAGTTCTGACAGATGCTACAGCATGGACACTGTGCTAAGTGAAATGCCAGACACTGAAGGACAAATGTCGTATGATTCCGCTTATGTGAAATACCTAAAACAGGCAAATTCGTAGAAATAGAAAGTAGACTAGAGGCTACCAGGAGCTGAGGGGAGAGAAAATTGGGGAGTTACTGGTTCATGGGTACAGAGTCTCTGTTTGGGGTGACAAAAGTTTTGGAAATAGATAGTGGGGATGGGATGGATGCACAACATTGTGAATGAAATTAATGCCACTGAATTTTACACTTCAAGGTGATTAAAATAGAAAACTTTATGTTACGTATATTTTATCATAATTTTTTAAAGAGAGAGAGAGAGAGCCCTAGCCAGTTTTCCCAGTGGTTAGAGCATCGGCCTGCAGACTTAAAGATTGCAGGTCCGATTCTGGTCAAGGACATGCACCTTTACAGGCTCAATCCCCAGCCCCAGTCGGGTGCGTGCAGGAGGCAACCAACTGATGTGTCTCTCTCACATCGGTGTTTCTCTCTGTGTGTCTCTCCTCTTCCCTTCCACTCTCTCTAAAATATCAATGGAAAAAATATTCATGGGTGGGATTAACAGGAAAACAAGAGAGAGAGAGAGAGAGAAAGAGAAAAGAGGTCAAGGTCTCAACCCATTTCCCCCCCAAGAAGCTCCCTGTCCTCTGTGCAATCAGTCCACTGCCCCCGGCGAATGGCCCTGCAGACACAGAGGACAGGGAGGAGCCCTTACTGAGCTTTCCTCAGGTTTCCTCCTTGCCTAACCAGCAGAGCAGCAACAGAGGCCACTCAAGTCACTTCTCAGAACAAGACTCCCCCCCACAGACAGAGGAGTGACTGGCAACATCTCTTGCTAAGTGAATTTAAGTTCTGTTTCATCGGACACGAGACTGGATCGGACAAGAGACCATTCGCTGAGCACCCCCCCAGAAAGAACGCCACACTAGGTGCTTAAAACCCGGACCCTGATCCTCAGCAAGCGGCGCCTCCACAGCAGAGCACCAGCCACAGAGGACAGGGCACCCGAGACAGCGTGGTGGTGCCCACACTACACAGAAAGTCCCAGGGCTAGGATGTGAACCCACAAAACCAAACCGGCCTGCTTCCCAAACCCTTGCTCTGATTCCTACCCCACATCCTCACAAGAAGACCTAACCCAAAATGAAGCAACACAGCAAACGCCCATTTACTATAATCAAAATTTGACGGCATCACAAAAAAAGATACAAACTCAATATAATGTGCAACTATGAAATAGCAGGAAAACAGAG